CCCGGGCCCCCGAGCGCGGAGCCGGGCAGCAACCGGCGATGAGGCTGAAGTTGGTTCCTTATTCCCGGTTCCCGCTTCCTTTTTGAAAGCGAATCTAGACCCAGTCAACACTTGTTATTAATGCATTCCACATCCTACACAGAGAGAAATTCATTAGCTACACATCTACTAGTTAGCATGTCAAATGTTATCTCACATCAAGAACAGAGCCCTAAACGAAGGTCAGATTAGGATGGGATTATGGGGAAAGAGACTTCTTGGGCCACCCCAACTTTGGTGGCGATGCCACTGGAGGACCGTCCCAAAGACTGCTGACCACCGCCCCGCCTGGCCCAAAGCGCGTCCCGCCAGGCCAGCTGCCCACTACCATCCCGGTGCCGCGGTACTAAGTATAATGGCTTGAAGAAGGAACTGGATTTGGGGCGGGGGGTATGGCTAGAAATCCTGCTTGGGCCACCCCAGACCGCACCTCAGCGCCCCGGGGGGATGCTCCTGGACAGCTGTGACCATGGACTTGCCCGGCCCAAAGCGCGGCTTGGCCATGCCAGGCTGACAGCTGACACCACCCCCGGACACCGCGCTAAGTATCTGGACCCGAATAAGGACCTGGATTTTGGGCTGGGATTATACCCAGAAACCCTATTTGGGCCACCCCAGGCCGCACCTCTCTGGCACGGGGGGACGCTCCTGGACAACTGTGATCAGAGACCTGCCCAGCCCAAAACACGGTTTGGTCGCACCCTTCTCCGCACCCCAGGGCATGTGTATAGCTAGCTAAGGCCCTAGGGATTTTTCAACAGCATTTCACATTTACATGCAACCGCCACCCAGAAACTTGGAAAAATAACTTAGAGCTGGGTGTTGTAATTTGCTCACTCACCAGCAAATGTTAAATTAGAACAAGTTTATTACAAGGGAAAAGGGGAACAGTGGTACTCCCTAAGCAAAACCTGAACTATTAGCCTTTAACTGTAGCTCAAAATGGATGACAGTCACGGTCAGACAGCCAGACGAAGCCTGTTATTGTGTTACAGGCTGGGGGGGCTGCAGTTAGCAGCATGGCAGGAAGAAACCGCGCTCTGGGCCGGGCAAGACTCTGGTCAGGGATGTCCGGGGGAGTCCCCCAGTACCACAGAGTCATAGTGTGGGGTGGCCAAGAAGGTTTTCCATTTCTAATCCCAGCCCAAAAACAGCTCCCTATTCAAGTCCTTAGTACAGCCGCTGGCAGGGGGTGGGTAAGAAGGATTTCTAGCTGTAATCTTGGCCCAAAAGCCTTGGGTCCACATAGCTAGCACAGTGGCTGAGGTGCTGTCTCTTGGCACCCTGGCACGAACAAACTGCCTTTTGGCCTGGGCAAGTCGCTATTCAGAGATGTCTGGAAGCGTCCCCCCGTGGCACAGAGGTGTGGTCTGGGGTGGCCCAAGAAGGGTTTCTGGGTATAATCCCAGCCCAAAATCCAGTTCCTTATTCAGATCCATACACTTCACACTGTGGCTGTGGGGCTGTCAGTTGGCAGCCTGGCACATCCAAGCCACGCTTTGGGCCGGGCAAGCCTGTCCTCAGCAATGTCCAAGAGAGTCCGCCACTGCCACAGAGGCATGGTCTGGGGTGGCCAAGAAGGATTTCTGGGTGTAATCCCAGCCCAAATCCAGTTCCTTATTCAAGCCGTTATACTTAGTAGAGTGGCATGGGGGCTGGTGTCAGCTGGCAGCCTGGCACGGCCAAACTGCACTTTGGGCCAGGCAGGACTGTGGTCGGGGTCTGTGGGATGGTCCCCCCAGTGGCATCGCCATGAAATTTGGGGTGGCCTAAGCAGTATTTTGCCCCATAATCCCATCCTAATCTGACCTTCGTTTAGGGCTCTGTCCTTGATGTGAGATATTATTTTACATATTAATTAGTGTAGCTAATGAAATGCTCTCTCTTTAGGATGTGGAATTCATTAATAACAAGTTTTCACTGGGTCTAGATGAGCTTTCAGACAGGAACCGGGAATAAGGAGCTAGGAATAAGGAATAGGGACTCGGGAATAAGGAAGCAGCTCCAGCCGCATCCGACTATGCCCGTCTGTGTGAAGGAGAAGCTCGATACAGGACTTCACGTAGCATTATGTCTGCATCTGACAGATGTGAATCCGTGGAGCTGCTACACGTACAGCGGCTGTGTCGGGCACCCACGTCGAGTACCGAGCAGCGCCGCGCTCCCGGGCTTCCTCGTGGACGCTGCCGGGGGCTCCAGGGTCGGCGCCGAGCCTGCAGCCAGGAGCGAAAGGCGGGGACAGCCCAGCTCAGCGCCGCCCTGCAGCTGCGTGCCTCGGAAGGCGCGACGCGGGCTCCGCGCACGCGGGAGCGCTCCCGCGGGGCACCGCAGCCACCACGAAAAGGCAGAGGAAAGAACCCCCTGCCCTGCTCCTCCCCGGGCTTCCGTCGGGCCTTTCAAGGCCGGAGATGAGGGCAGAGAGAAGAGGGCGGGACCGGAGCAGTGCTCGCGGCCGGGGCCGGGGCCGGGGCCGGGGCCGGGGC